GATGAGAGTTTTCGATCCTTACAAATACCTTTTTTCTGTGTTGTACGTTTTCTCCCCTTACTCCTCTTACTAACATGTGACTCTTCCTCATCATCTACATAATCAATTCCATCTTGCTTGAATTCCTCGTCACCATCATCACAATCATCTTCATCCTTGTTGTAATCATCTGACAACCTGGTTCTTCTACCCAACCGTTTGAGTTTAGTTTTTGATCGACTAGAAGAACCCTTTTGGGGTTTTGATCCGGAAACCTCTTTGTGGTTTGGATCTAACCATCTAACAAACCCTGTTTGATGAATGCATCTTGGAGATCTTCAAGTTTCTTCCATCCTCTAGAGACCACTACTCTTGCGTTGTTGTCTCAAAGAAAGGGCTTGCCTTACAGGCCACCATGTGGATTTTTGTGTTAAAATTTGAGCTAAAATCCCGCAACAATAAAATCTCAAGATGCTTGGAAGGAAAAAATGCAAACGATACACGATTGACTGCTCAAAGATTCCAGTTGACAACCTCCTTTTCATCAAACATTTATCATTCGAAAGTTATAGTGGCTGCCGTCGCTTGTGACGACGATGCCAAAATCACCGCCACCGCAACAATTCCCAATAGTGGTGGTGAACAATATGGGTATTTTAGGAATTTTAAAATAATACCACTCACGTGATGTCACATGTGAATGGAGTGTGACGGAAAATTAACAATAAGGGAGGTTTTAGATAATTATCAGAAAATTTGAGGGTACTTTAAGACAATATGTAAATATTAAGGGTACAATTTGTCAATTTCGTGAATAGTAGGGGTAGTTTAAGAGATTTACCCTTATTATTATTATTATTTATCAATGTTATTTATTATTGCTTATTATTGTTACTATTATTTATTATTTTGTTGTTGTTATTCATTATTTTTTTATTTGGGCCTACGTGGTCTCTCATGTGTCACGAAGTGGTGATGTGGCAGGTTTCATTGAAATGCATAATATAATATGTGAAAAAAATATTGTTTATATGTGTGGGTGAAATAAAGGCTACAATTGTCATTTATGCTAAAATAAGCACTTGTAGGGAAAGTAGCTCACAAAAAATCTGCACCCCGATAAGTGCTTAAAAAACACAATAAGTGATTTGGAAAATGGGTCACTAAACAACCATAAGTGGTTGTTTAAATAAGTACTTACATAGCCTTGGTTCATTATTTTAACAACCTCTTAATCACCAAACATAGCCTTGATTCCTTATTTTGCAAAAATGATACAAATGATACCTTTCTGTCCCAAACATTAAAAATCCATTATGTAGATTCTTGTACTTCATTTCACTTTTCATTTGTGATGTTTGGGGATAAAACGTGCACATTAATTTTTAAGTGAAAGATAATATTTTCTACGGTAGTTGATATTGTCTTTATTACATCTATAAATGTGTTATCAACTGATTTAAAACCAAACATATTTGTCATAGGAGTTTTATTCCAAAAAATTAAGTCAACCTTTTGAATTATTTTAGTTAATTATGCCTGTTGGTTGATCAAACAACATGACTCAAGTAAATTTAAAAGAATCTTCAATCTTGAACGAATTATTCTCCCTCCATGTAATAACAAATCAACAATTTTTGAAGAAGCAACTAATAGAACAATTTTGTTATCATCTAAATTTTGCAATGATTGTTTTTTACAATAATGTTTTCCTATTCGACTGCTTTTATAAACAAAGAATAAATCACCCTTATTATTATAATACATATTCATAATTTTATCAAAAATGAATTTCTAATAATCATTTATGTCCGCATGGCATAACAAAATTTTGAAATTCTATTGCACTAACATAATTCATTTTTTTCGTGTATCATCCTATTTTGTAGTACTTGAAAATTTTGCCTTACTGACATTGGAATGAGGTGGGTATTCATTTAAAGATCTTACATTCTAGTTCAAAATATTTTTCAACCTCATTTGTAAGATCTTCCCAATATTATTTTCAAAGCTCAAAAGCTTTTGTGACATTACTAAATGTTAAAATTTTACAAAATAAATTTATAAGTTGTGATTCTAATGCCCATTGAGATGATTTAAATAATGTATTATGTCATTTATTATCATCCTCAAGTAAATCAAGCGTTGAATATGTTTCCTTATATGTTGGATATAGAATGTCATTCACAATTCTTAAATCCTCAAAGCACATGACTTATCTTATTTAATAAGTCATTAAAATCAAATAATACCTCACATGAATTTGGTTGTGCATGATATAATCCTTCAATTGACATCTTTTTCTCATTTTCCACTCATTTGTGTCTTTGTTCCATACTCTCATTAATGGAAATTCTACATATGTTAAGCTTCTTGTATCTTCATGGTTTTGGTTTGCTTCAAACGATTTTGTTAACATGGTATGTTTGACATCATAATGATTATGAACCAAGTCAATGTTATCAAAATCAGTAATTGTTGATTTGATAAACGAAATTACAATAGCTTAATTGATAGAAAATGCTCTTGGTTTTCAAATTCAAATATCTTCAACATAATTTAACTGATGATATATACTTTCACAATAATGATTAATTTCACCTACATGCTTGTACTGCTACATATCACTAGCTATGAATGTACTCGTACAGGTATTGATCACCTTTGTGCACATCATTCAACATTTATATATGTATCATATCTTATTAGCAAATCAGAGTTATATAGACACACCGGTTAACAATTTCAACTCCATTCAACATAACCATTTTTCCATTATCTCTATGTCGATAAACAACAAATCCATTGTTATTTATTGTTGTCTTTTTGCAAAAGACTTTTGGATAAACATTTGAACACCTTTTCATAAACCCTGCATGCATTATTTGGATTGTATTTGCAACATGGTCCATATATCATACATCAAATAACTATTTCATGTAACAATATATCTATTTCTTTATTAAGTATCTCAGTAGTTATAATATTATCAATATCATTAATTGAATTTGGCTTATCTTCTTTTTGTTTATGTAATAAGTATGTGGGAATAGGAAGGCCTCGCTTTTGAAACTCAACTACATCAACACCTGTGTTTTAAGAAAGCAATAGTTTATAATGTGGTTTATAATAAATAATCTATCAACAAAACTTAAAATAATAATATATAAGTACTTAGAATGAGAATTCTAAAAAGTTTACCATTCTTCAGATCTTAAAGCATTTGCCTCAACTTAATATGAAAGACCCTAGCAACCAAATCAGGCTTATCTTTTGCTTATTGTCATGGTATTATTTTTAGTTCTTCTTCTTGTTTTTTTGGCTATTTTGATTTATAAATGAATGTAATGAAAAGGTCAAGGGGTCTTGCCTATCTACCATTGAATCATATACCGTGGCCCACTTGTAAAAGATGATGGCAATATAAACCTTTGACCAATTATTGAAGTATTAAGATCTCTTTATGTAATTGCATCCTCCAAACCTTGATAAAATCAAATTGCAATTTTGATTGATTATCTTTAAAATGTTTCAAGAGATTTTGTTCAATTGCTGCAAAATTCCATCTTTTAGTAAACCTTCTTTATGCTTGTTGTAAAGAATTTGACAATCATTTCAAGTTATGATTGGAAGCAATAGCATCAACGTTTCATTGTGGCAACAAATTATCAATTTTTGCAATTTCAAAAACATTTGCATGCTCTCTTGATAATGTTGAAGTTCATTCCTAAACCTTCGTTGGTGTAGTTAAAACTTTGATAGATCGGAAATGTTTTCACATGGTCTAAATTTGATAATCTCTTACCAAGCATGTTCACTAATCTCACTATCTATCAAATTCACAAGAGGTAAGGTCAAGATTCGAAACACAACTCTGTATTGCACATGCAAAATTTTGGAGTTAGACAAAGGGCTCCATTTAAATACAATAATATTTTCAGACTCTATTTGAAAACATGATGCATCAACCACAAACTCCTAACCTACCACTCCCAAGAGAGCATTACATTTCTCGAAAGGGGCTAATATTGTGGTGGATTTCAACATTAATCCTTTTATCACACCGTCTGCAATTCTCCTCCAATCCCTTAGTGGTTGTTCAGTAACCACTACTAACTTTCACTCCCAATCAACATTGGCAACATTGATGGTTATTCTATCATCACTTTTAATGTATTCTAATGTCAATAGCGCTCCCATCAAAACATTCTTTTCACCATCTTAAATTTGTGCACCACCATTATGTTAGGCTGCCTAAACTATGAGCACTAACCAATCCTCCCCCCTTCCAAAGCAATTTATTCACTATTCATCCCAATAGTTTTGTCAAAACACTCAGAAAGTTGTGAATGATTTCAGATAAATAAATGAAAGGATTCAACATTCTCTCTCTCTCTCTCTCTTTTTTTTTTTTGCTTCATGGGGTAGCCCATCCCATTTCCCTTAACCCCCCAACCCCTGGTGGCAGCGGGATTTGCTCCTAGGTCTACTTTGACGAATCAGAGAATCTACTAACTGAGAAGGATTCAATATTTTTTAATAACTCAAAAAAATAAATTATATGATTATCCCTAACTGTGAGAAAAACAAAGATATCTTATCAAAAAATACAAGCTCTGAAGAATGCCGATAAAACACTGTAAAGCGAGAGGCAAGGGTGACCGGAACGAAAAGAAATAAAGGTGAAAAGAGATTCCTTCACTCGAATTAACGAACAGACAACAGAAAGATATAGAAGTAAAAATAGATTCATTCACTTGAACGAGTGAATAGAAAACAAAAGATGTAGAGGTGAAGATAGACTTCATGAGTAGAGAACGAGAGATGTAGAGACTTTGAGCGATTAGATTAGACGTAATACATCGGTATCATGCATTAGACTACTACACTTTTTTTGATGTAGTATCATTTATTAATTTATTTATATGCATACTCGTCACATAAAACATTAGTACCTACTAATGCAGAGATACCATGCTTGTACATACAAAATTCTTCAATGCAGTTACCGGTTACGTTGATGGCTTGGTTCTTTTCTTCCTCTCTATTTCATTTCGAGCGTGTAAATAATAACCGCCACGTTCTTATTGGGAAATAACCAGCTGATCCCGACGCCACGTATACCCTGCCGCCTCTGATTCGCTGAAGGCTGCTCTGGTCGCTACTTTATCCTTGGGCTCAAATATCACGCGCATGCACCATAGGTATCCTTCGTTAACGGACAAGTTCGTTTCCTTCTCCCTGTATTGTTCTTTCCATGGCGTCGCTCCAGGACCTCCGGCGACTTCTCAATGGTGTCTCTCTCATTGCAACAGAAATTGCCAAACGCTCCCAAGCCCTCGAGAGCGCCAAAAATGGAGACTTTGAAGCCCTAGTCTCTTCATCCGCGAAGAAATTCGTTCTCTCGGTTACAGATTTAACTGGGCTGACCAAAGGAAAGATTAAGGAGTTCTCTATTCCCAGCTCGAAGGAAGCCGTTGTTTACTTCACGAACCCTTCTGAGTTCGGAGATTCCAACCCAACCAAGGATGAACGAATCATCGTTTTGGACCAGGAGGTTGAGAATTCATCCAAATTTAGTTCGAACGATAGCGGAGAAGTTAGGGATCTCGAGATACCAATCAAAGATATTGCAGGGAAAAAGTTCCAACCGGTTTCTTCTTCTGCAGATACTAACACTGACCGTGTTCCTGAATTCGAGAACTTGAGCGGAAATAATTCAGAAGCTAAAGAACGCCATACCGAACAATCCCCAGTAAGGAGTGGTATAGCCGAAAGAGCTGAAGTGGGAGTTTCATCAGTGAAGAGGAAGCCTCGGGAGAGGAGAGTTCCTTCAACTCCTTTCAGCAGAGCACTTGGGTGAGTTCCAATTCTATGCATTCGTCTAATTTACAAATAATTACTACTTATATATTTTACTCCCTTCCCCCTTCTTTGTTCTGTTATAGTTTCCGTCAAAATATGCAGACAAGTGGCTAAACACAACATGTGCAGACTAATGCTAACTATAGAAACATGCAATCAAAGCCATTAAACTAAGAGATATGAATGGTAAATTAATGAGTTGGAAGCTGGAAGAAAGAGTGGCTTTTATGTCTCTAAACATTAACACATCAATGGCAACGTATTTTTTCGCTTATTTTTAAGTAGGCAGAAACAGAACGAGCAAAGAAAAATTATGTGTTTGCTTTGATTATTAATCGGGAGTTTAACAAGCGAAGGACCTAAATAACATAATCTGGACTCTTTTCTTATTTTCTGTATAGGAGGGATAAAATTGACTGGACTGAAGAGCCTGATGGAAAATCCTTTGATCGATCATTCCACATTGCTATTGCTACTTGCTGGGGGGGGGGTGTCCATGTCCATTGATGCATCACCAGTGTGTAGTAGTTGTTACCATCACCATCCAGGCCATGTCCCGACTATATAGGGGCAGCTACACTAATCCTGTTTCGCCATTCCGTTATCTTTAGTGCCATATTCATTGTTAAAGTTTGAAGTATGTGCACTCCTAAGATTGAAACCCATATATGGTTTCTATTTCTTGATAAGGTTCTTTCATTAGTCAGTAGATCATCTTAACAATTGGTTGCAAGAGGTGTAAGAGGACCAGGTACTTGTTGGATTATTTGTTTCTATCATAAGACTGCCTCTATTTGGGTTTGTTGGTCACTTGATTAATTTCAATGGGCTTCTCTTCAGTCCTTTAAGGTTCTATTTGTTTCAATGTAAAATGGGTGCAGAAATTTTTAGTCTGAAATAGTTGAGCTATATTTTCTCATTTTTTTTACAATCAAAAACTATCTTTTCATTGCCATAGGCATCAAAACAAATTAGGAGAAGACAATATTATGAAAGAAAGAATTCTGAGCTGAGTAGTGGGGGAGGTTCTTAGTAGATTGATCTCTAGGGCTAGTTAGTTGCATGTTGGGTGGTGGGCAGAGATAGTGTTGGTAACCCATCTTCAATTTGCGGATGACATATTGTTTTATTTTTTTATTTTGTGATGGGAAGGGGGGGCAGAGAAGTGATTGAAAAATTGAAATTGGTGGTGAGTCTCTTTGAAAGAATGTCTAATCTTATAATTAATCGGAGCAAGAATTTGGTGGTTGGTTTAAATCTTGAGGAAAAGGATTTAGGATTTTTGACTGAGATTTTGGGGAGTGAGAGAGGGGAGGCTATTTACTTCATGTTTGTCATCAGGATGCCTCAGGCGGTTGTGAAGAAAGTAGAGAAATTGATGAGAGATTTCCTTTGGGAGCCGAGGGACAAAAAAGGATCATTTGGTGAGATGGGAGAAGGTGATCAAAAGATAAGAAGAGGGTGGTTTGGGTCTAGGGAACATTAGTAAGAAAAACCTTGCTCTTTTAGGTAAGTGGTTGTGGCATTTCCCCTTGGAGAATGGAAGGCTGTGGCACACAAAGTGATTTCAAGTAGCTGATAAAAAAAAAGTGATTTCAAGTATTCATGGGCTCTCAAGGAATGGATGAGGTGGATGCTAGTATGCTGTAAAGAGCTAATCAAGCTGCACCATGGAAAGCGATGCATGGTATAGTACCTCAATTTCTTGAGCATATTAGGTATGATCTGGCTTTTGGTAATAGGGTCTGAAAGATGTGTGGGTTGGGGAGATAGATCCCTTTGAAAGATGCGCTTCCTTCCTTGTATGCTCTCTCTCAAGCCTTAAAGAAAAACTTATGTCTGAATTCATTTGGCCTCTTTTCTCTTTTGGGTTGGGATGGAATTTTTTTGATAGGTAATGGAAATTTTATTAATTAGAATAAAAAGACAGCATACATCGTACAACTCCCCACAAAGAGGCACGGGGTGCAGCCTCTAAGCTACAACATAAAGCTTACAAGTGAGCCCCAAAAAGCTGATTCCTATGTGCTTCTTGTTTGGCTAGGACATCTGCCAGCCCCATTTGCCGATCTTCTTTCCCATTGAACTGTGACTGAGATATTTGACATTAGCCACTTAAATCTTCTCAATGCCTCCCTGTAGGGCCAGGCTGCCAACTCCGGTTCTTTTAGCCATCCAATAACCAATTTGGAGTCACCTTCAATCATTAAATGCTCCACTGCAAACTCTTTTGCAATTTCTGCTCCTTGGGATGGCATTTGGGGCTAGTGAGAAATATTAGAGAGTCTGAAGTCTTGCCTGTTAAATATTTTGGATAACGTAGTCTTTGATGATTTAGTGGGTGATAGTCGGGTATGGTCTCTGAGTTCTTTAGGTTCATTTACATGTAAATCCTTCTTCTCTTCCCTTGTGATCACTTCCTCTTCTTATTCTTTTCCTCTGAAAGAAGTTTGGACTGTCCCCATCTCCACAAAAGTTGGTGCTTTCTGTTGGGAAGCTTATTAAGGGTACATCAGCACATATGATTTGTTGCAAAAGAAAGACCAAATTGGTATTTGTCTCCCAACCTCTTGTTCCTTTGCTTGCTGTATTTGGGAATGGTTTTGCTCTCTTTTTGGTTGCATGTGGATCCCTCTTGTTAGTTTGAATTGCTCTTTAGCCCATTTTTTTTTTTTTTGGGGGGGGGGTACAAAGCGAAGAAGTAGAATCTTGTGGAAGTGTGCAAGGACAATGGTAGTGTGGAAAATTTGGAGGAGAGGAACTTGAGAATCTTCGAGGATAAGGAAAGGAATAAGGAGGTAGTTATCGAGAATGTTATAGTAAGAGTAGCATATTAGGTGAAGACTTTGAAACTAATTTCTGATTTTTCACTTGAAGAATTCTTCAGAAATTGGCGGTGAATTGCTCAATCATCCTATAGGAAACAAAAAAATCCTTGAAGTGTGGTCCCCCCAATTGGTGGGTGGATGAAACTCAATTTTGATGGTAGTAGTTTGGGAAATCCAACACCTTTCAGAATTGGAGGAGTGATTTGGGATGAGGATGGGAATGTTTGTGGTTTGTTTTCAGGGCCAATTGAATAGAGTAGTTCAATGAGAGCATAATTCATGGTTGTTTGTCCCCTAATTGGTGTGCCCTGTGTAAGTTTAATGGCGAGGCTGCATTTCATCTTCTTATCTCTTGCCCTTTTGTTAACTTTATTTGGAATTGGTTTTCTGCCCTTTTTGGTTGTAGGTGGTCTTCTCCTGATAATGCTGGATGGTTTGTTTAGCCCTACTAGCATTAGTTGCACTAAAAGGAGGGGTAGGATCCTGTGGAGGTGTACTAGAGCAACACTACTGTGTACTTTTTGGGAGGAGAGAAATGCAAGAATATTTGAAAAATGAGAAAAAGCAAGAGAATGATTCAATTAACACTAGTTCAGTCTTAGGTATGAGATAAGTAAGAAGGAAAGAAGAAGAAGAAGAGAAAGAAGAGGCTTAGCAAAGCAAGGGGTTCAAAGAACATATATGTTTTGGGCACATTTGTAATTCTGCCTTGGGTCAGCTTACTAAGCTGATTTCTTTTGCAACTTCTTGTTGTATCCTAAAGCATCTTAATTAATGAAATTCATTCAAAGTTATTGATAAAAAAAAGAAGAGAAAGAAGAGAGGAGAAGAAGAAAGGGTTCGATCTGAGAAGAGGAAAAGTCACCTCTCAGCCAACCCACCTTATATTTAGGGGCTGTTTGGCAAGTCTTTTTGAAAGATATTCTGGAAGCTCTGACAGTCAAAAGACGTAGTGAGCTTTTGCATTAAGATCTTGACAGTTAGGAGACCGTTTGGTTGAAAAAAACTGAAAATCTCCATTTGGAGCTTCCCGAAAGTCGCCCAAAATGGGCTTTGTACATCTTTTCGGCACGTCTTTTTGCGGCTAGATCTTTTCCCAACCAAACGGGAAAAGACGAAAACGCGGGCTGTTGGACTTCTAAAAAGCCGACAGCCCATGTGAAAAGACGTGCCAAACGAGGCCTTATACTCTTTGCATTAGACTACAAAAGACAAATCTGCCCCTCATTAAGTATGGGACACAACTTCAACCCAGACAAAATAGACAACTCATCCTTAACACAATAGACAAATGACCAAACTACCTTTGTATTATCGATTCTAACACTCCCCCTCAAGTTGGAGAGTATATATCACGTAGTCCATGCTTGTTACATATGTAATCCACTCTTCCCCAACCTCAACCCTTTTGTAAACAGATTTGCCCACTGGTTTCTTGAACTCACATGAGCTGTATTCATCACTCCACTGATCACCTTTTCTCTTACAAAGTGGCAATCAATTTCAATATGATTTGTTCTCTCGCGAAAAGATTGGATTAGAAGAAATGTGGAGTGTAGCTTGGTTATCATAGTACAACGTCATAGGTCTGTCAACTGAGAACCTCATCTTCTGGAAAAGATTTTTTAGCCACACTAGTTCACATGTAGTATGAACCATGGTCTTGTATTTAGCTTCAACATTGCTTCTTGCTACCACAATTTGTTTCCTTCTCTTCTAAGTCACTAGATTGCTCCCAAGGGAGGTACAATACCCTGTAGTGGACCTTCTATCAAACACAGATCCAACCCAGTCAGCATCTGTGTACCCCTCTATCTCAAGAGTTCCTCCACTCTTGTATAATAGTCCACGACTTGGAGTTCCCTTCAAATACCTAACAATTCTTAGGACTACCTCCCTGTAGAGAGACTGGGCTGAATGGGCCCTAGCCCATTAGTGTCTTTCTTGTTATGTTTTCTTATTGGGCCTTTTCTTTATGGGCCTTTAGCTCTAGTTTATGTTTTCTAAGTATAGTGCTGATGTGGATGCCTACTTAAGGGAAATCTTGTAAATTATGTAACTTAAGTAAGTTTATTAAAAGATTAGTGGGGGAAAGAGGATATTATCAAACTCTTCCTTTCTTTCTCCTTTCTTCTCCAATCTTCTTTCTTCTTCTTGCTGTCTTCT